GTCTTCCTCTGAATCCGTTTCTTTCATTAAACGATGGAAAAGGCATCCAAAGCTACGATTCTCTGCTGGAAGTCAGAACAAATTAAGTTCTGTCAGGCAGCGCGGTGCCTCTTTGATCCTCCTGCTCTGTTTGCTGGTAGAGAGATTTGAAGGACAACACATAAATCACTGAATTCATCTCCACTCTGGGGCCAATGGTCAGAAGTGCACATTACGTGCATGTGCTCAAGACCTGAACAAAGCGAGGACACACTCATAAAAACATTGCCCCACAGCGCTACTTGGACTAGGACTAAGATATCAAACTTGCCAAGGAGAGTTTTTAAAACAACAATGAAACACAACAAAACAAAGACTAAATGTTGGACTACCGATCTACAAGTGCTGCAGACATAAACTGTACCCTTTGAAAAATGGTTAGCAGTAACATTAACTATAATTGATTGATAGGTGGGCTTAAACATGCTAAACAGCCACTATAATAAAGCCCATAGTGTCCAAAGAAAGTCAGATGGACTTATCATGGTGTTATCATGACACTAGCCAATAGCAGACCTTGGTGGAGACTCTGTAGGTGATGTACGTCTCCATGGTGGAGATGTGCTTCTTTGGGTCATCAACTGTGACAAAGAGGTCACGGGTTTCTGTGGAGACGTAGAGGTCCCGGACATCTGCTTCCAGGTCGTCGTCCAGCTGCAGCCGGTTGAACAGCGAGGACGCAGAGGCGGGACTCGACGTCTCAATCGGCGTACCGTTGGTCAGCCCAGCTTCCTGCGTGGACAGAGACCATGGGGACATAGAATTAAGACGATGCCATGGGAAAACCTGCAGACAAAGAGCTGATAGATTGATGCGGATGGTGATGCAGTTGTTTCTCTCCGTCAATGGGGCTCTTGTTGAGGCTGCTGCTGCGTACACACCCTACATCGTCTGACACTGCTCCTGTCTTTCTAAATCAATGATGGGTGAGAGAAGAGAAATGGAGCATTTGGGGAGTGGGGATGCATTTCCACAGCCCTAATACAAAAACTTAGAAAACAATGGCTACTCCTGTCATCTATATGGTGACCAAAGAACAATTTTTAATTTCATTTTATCATATTTATAGGAAGAAACTGTTGTGTGTTAGTTTGTTTTTGCAATAAACATGTAATGCCTTTTAGTTTATAAAAACAGACTGTGAAGTGACCTTCATGGCGTCCTTTCTACTTTTTGGACAAACAGATTTTCTGTAAAACACAATCAGTATCTGGATCTACAGATGTGATCAATATCACTGTCAAACTGATGCAAAACTATTTATAGAGTATTCACAGATGACACTTCAAGTGTAAAAAAGGGGGACAGATTTGTTCAAGCGCTTTCAATTTGTCAGTATTTGTCGTTATATTTTTTTTTTTAGCAAGTAGAGAGCAAACAACAAATTTCCCCTGCAGGCTCCATCCAAACACAGCAAGAGTGCTCAGAAAAGCTATAAAAAGGCAAATAACTGGACAGAAGTGGAGGCTCCTTGAATGAAGAGGCGACCTGTGTATTTGGACATTAGAAAAAAGCAAATTATCTGGTTGATTTTCTACTTCTAGCTGCTTACTTAAGTCTAAATAATATATTAAATTTAAAAAAAACACATCTATACACTGGATGATATTATTTCTCATTCTCATTAGCAAACAGCAGCAGGCAGCACAGTGTTAAATGTAAACAAAGACCAAAGTGTAAACACTGCAACAGGAGGGTAGGGAAAACACAGAGGCAGCAGGGTTGCATCATCAAAAGCGGTTGTGAAAATAAAACTAACAACCGAATCTGTCACTACGACAACCTGCACTGCCGCATTTGAGTTGATCTAAACTTGCTCATGTCCTCTCATATGACAAAAGGAACTACTTTCTTCCTGAAACAAGTTAAGGTGCAGATGTGGGAGAACAGGAAAGCTAATGTTCAACCATAATCACTTTTTTTTTTTTTTTTTAAATCACCTGATGTGGGCATGAGTGCAAGTTCCAATTAAATCAGTGTTGAGAAAAGTGCTACCATTCTGTCTCCCAACGTACACGCTCTGCTAGTCCACACGCATATTCACGCCACTTTTTCCTCTCTCTGCTACTGTACGTGCACAGAAACACACACACACCTGACATTGTAAGAGCTCTTTTTTTCTTTTTCTTTTTTTTACACTGTGCTAATTTACACTGGTAATCACAGTTCAGATAACTGCATTGCACTGCATCATTACACCACTGTGATTGATCAACCAGGCCACCACAACACAGTCAGACAGTGAGGAAATTGGAGGAACCAGATGTGCTCTTAATGTACAGCAGATTTGGGGAATGTACAAATTAATATTGTGATAAGGGAATGGCTATAATGTGGAGTTCAGCTTTTAGCAACTCTGTGAGCTTAAATGTCGCATTTTAGGGCTTTACAGTCACTTTGCATTCTATAAACATATTTGACAGCTTTAGCGAAAGAAAGACGAAGGGTGAAACACGGTTCACATCCACATTACTATCTTTATAGGCCTTGTTTCATAGCAGACGTGTTGTCTTGTGGCAGTGGGAAAAGCACAGGTGTTGCTAATACAGTGCTAACAATGGCCCTGTTCTATTCAGGCGTCCCAGAAAGCCATGGCAGTGTGACAGTGAGCCAGCATGCACAGTACCAGGACCCTGAAGCTGAAACAGCTAAATGGAACACAGCCATCATTCACTTGACCATTTCCACCTGTCTCCACCGGTATGACTAAATATTGCATGCACACACTAATAGTCGTACCCAAAATCTCACAACATTATTGATATTTTGGGACTAAATAAAAATGTCATGATTAGTTATGAAGAGCAAACTCCAGATTTTCAGGAATGTCAGTACAAACTCCTGTTTGCTTTCTCCCGTTAAGAAACCAAGGCGGAGTGTGACAGCAAGATTTTGTCATTCTAACAAGATGATTAGTTGATTCCGCAATGGCAAAAAAAGGGGTGGGGTTAGAAATTTTAACAATGTAATCTTAAGAAATCCTTTTTTTTTTTTTTTTTTTTTTTTTAATCTACAGATGCATCCTGATCTAACCAAAGACTAACCATTGTTCCCTAGGCCCATGATCTTACTTTCCATTAAATTTTATTGCAATGTGTTGACAACTTGAATATTCTGCTGGCAGGCTGGGACCAGAGCCATAAACTCCTTGGTGGTGGGAGTAGACTTCACCATTTTTGATTTGTGTGGAGGTTGTTTTTGGCTCAGTGTATTATTCATTTATTTTAAAAAAATGGAAAAGGAAAATACCTTACCATGCAGAGCAACCTTGTTGGAACGATGCACCATAGCATCTCCTGTTGGCAATAATTAATTGCAAAGTGTTTGCAAAGGTTGTTACTCCTAAGTACAACAACAGCAGGAAAAATAAAAGCATTGACATTTGTTTGCTTGGTCCATCCTTGTTTATACAGCACACCTAGACTGATAATGATGGCAGGTCCCTTAAATGGTTCGATCATAGTAACCTTTTGTGTGTATTTTTTGAGTTTGTGTGCATTAAGATAATTTTCTCCCTCTGTTCCTTTTCTCTGTGCTTGTTTTTCTTTTCTTTTTTAATGGTTTTGGTGTTTTAGTTGCTGTATTGTATTAATTGTAATATAAGAAATAATGTTAGCTAGCTTAAACACTGTTTTTGGTTACAGTAATTCAGTGACAAACTCAAAGAGCCCAGGCTCAACTCTAACCTCCAGTTCTGGCCAGTAAACCTACAATGCAAACAAAACTAACTAGAAATGCCGTTTATTAACGTTAAGCCCGTGTTCTCCATTTAACTTCCATCAGTTTGCTACTTCTTACTTCGTGGAATTTATCCATTAAAGCTGGTGCCAGCCTGAAAATAGCTTAAGAGTATAGATTTTAATTTGGTGAACCGTCCTCTCACCATCCCCTGGTTGAGTCCCAGCAGACCCTACCTTGTCCCCTTCGACGTTGACGGTGACGGAGAGCGGCTCCTCGGCGGCGGACAGCGTCTGCTCGGTGCCGGACAGCGGGTGGAGGATCTCCGCGATGGGTTTCTGCCCCGAGCTGGCCAGGCCTCTCGGAGCGCCGACACTCATCCTGCAGGAAGCGGGAAGACGTGGCCGGGTGTCGGGGGTAACGGCTGTCCGGTTCTCCGCGGCTGATGCGGTTGGTACAGACAGAGGGAGGATTTTTCTCTGTTCACTGTCTCTTCAGTTGAGATGTTACAACCGCTGGTTGGTCGCAACTGTCAGCTGACTCCTACTGCGCAGCTCCGGATGTTAAACCACACGGACCCGGATGTAAACATTAGGCATCACGTGACAATAAGCGACCAAAGAAACTCTAAAGATCGTCTATTGAGAGGATCAGCGAACTGTAACTGAAACTGCTCTTCCTGCTCATTTTTATCAAGTTTAGTGAGCTTTCCCCCAGAGCTTTTAACCTTATTTCATGGTTGAACGATGGTCATTACTAATTTATAATAGAGATACTGTCGGTGTCACTAAACTCTCTCCACTGATAGCTAAGCAAGCTGATATTAAAATGTGGCTGATAGCCCAAGGGGAACAGATAGTAGCCACTGGACCTTACCTTAAGATTTTTATTTAACTAGTCATTTGTGTTAAGGGCAATTTCTGCTGTCGAATAAATACCGTGTGCACAAGCACATGAATAATGCCAGAGACGTTTTGCTAATGTGCTAAGTTAATTGAGCATGTACAATTGGAGGAAACTACCTATCCATCTATCATCAACCACTTATCCTGCGTACAGGGTTTTATTTTAATTCCCATGTGTATGCACATAAGGACAACTGGACTCCATATGCTATATTGATTCATTTAAAGACCTCATAATATTTTGTTATTGATTTAGGTTTTCATCATGGTGCTCATTCACTTGCCTTTGTGCCATTCTCTTGGTTCATGATGGTAATTGGTTACCGGAAATAGGAGCAGTGTGAGACCTCCTGTCTTCCTCCTATCTAACCTTCCGAGCTGAAAAACCGGTAAACGGTCTGAAGAGGCAAAATGCGACGGACCAACCCTACATAACCACGAGTTTTATCGTTATTTTAAACTTTAAGTTACTGTTACAGTGGTGTGCAACAGCAAGGTCTGTGTACTTTATCCTAGCTGAAGCTTAAGTTATATTTATCTTCCAGGGGACTTTTATCGTTGTCTGAAATCCATTAATAGGCTAAGTGAACTTAACGTTACAACATTAGCTGGTCGGAGGAAACACAAACTAATACAATTGAAACCATTAATATAACGTTAGTCCTGTCTCTAGTTTGTTATTTTGATTTATTTCTTCCTACCTGCACCGACATGGCTACTAACCCACCAGGACAAGGTAATTCTTTTGTTTCGGGATAAACTAACGTTATATTGGTATTGAAGCTCTTTGTGTTGATCAATCGATCTGTAACCACTCCTGACGGACGGGCGTAAGTTAGCTAACGTTACACATAATCCAGTATAGTGCTACAATGTTCAGGATTTCATGCATGAAAGCTGAAAGAAATCAACAGTTACTATAACAAACCGAGGGCCAAATTACTGTTCAAGTCTTTATGGCCATAAGTCTCTCGAAATTAAGCATGCAAGTAGTTTTTGGTCGTCCACTGTCACTACATCATTACAGAAGCAAAATTGTATCACTCCCTTATTATGTTCACCACCATTATCTCTTCAGCTGTGGAGATGGATTTTATTTACATTTTACATTTTTAATCGGATCTATTCTAGAATGAATGCCATTCTAATCTTACTGCTCTGTAAAACATTAAATAACTTGTTAAACATTATCTTATTTTTAGCTATTTTAACCTGTATATCTCTGCAACCTATCAACACAATAAAGTGTGTGTGTGTATATATATATGTGTGTGTGTGTGTGTGTGTGTGTGTGTGTGTATATAATATATATGTATATGTTTTTTTGTTTATTTTTTTTAATTAATTAACATTGGTTATCTCATTATTGTGTGGTTAACACTGCCTTCACTTGAAATGGAAATGCTGGTAGCTGACTGTTCTCCATCCCTCCCTCCTCTGCCATTGTCTTTCTGTCGGTTCCTCGTCTTTTTTCTCCATCCAGCCTTCCCGAACAAGGCACGGGTGGCGATCCTGGCCGAGCTGGAGAAGGAGAGGAGGCGGCTGATGCAGAATCAGTCCATGAGCACTCCTGGAGCCAGGTAGAGTTAGTGTACAGCCATGGTCAAAACCTTTAGAGAAACATTTTTTTTGGGGGGGGGGGTTAAGCATTGATATCATAAAGCCATAGTATATATGTAATATATACTAGAGAGTATTGTTAGTACATTTCCAGTTACATCTCTTTTTTTCCTTGCCCTCTTCTCCTGTAGCATCTCACTGTCCAGACCGAGTCTGAAGGAGTTCAGGGACAATGCAGAACAGCAGCACATCGCTGCCCAGCAAAAAGCTGCCCTGCAGGTAAGAAAGAAACAAAAGCAACTTTATATCCTTTCCCACAACTTCTTTCCACACAGTAACAAGTAGCACAACAAATTGCTTTTAATGTAGTCACTTTTTTGTAAATCACAAGCACGCAGGCCCCTATCACCGGCTTACACAGAGGTCTGAAATCATTATGAGAGAGAGAGAGAGAGAGAGAGAGAGGTTTCAAGACAACATGAAGTATCTTGCAGAAGAGCAAGGAGGCTCAATAGTCACTGCATGGATGTTGCATCAGCCTCAAACACAGTAATGTGATTTAATGTGGCGAGGGTAAAAAACACAAAAACTTGTCAAACCAACACCTCCTGTGTTCTCTACATATCCTAAAAGGGATTGTTGTTTGTTTTCTCCACGGCTACTGTGCTGTAAGGTTTCTCTGTAATTCTGTCTGTCAGCATCTCTAAAGACACGGTCTGTCTCGTTTGTTTAATCAGTACGATTATTAAATGGTGAATGTGGTCAGAAATGCTAACGCAAACCTTTTGACTGTCTTCTCTGGCAGCATGCACACACACACTCGTCAGGCTTCTTCATCACTCAAGACTCCTCGTTTGGGAACCTCATCCTCCCTGTCCTTCCACGCCTGGAGCCTGATTCTTGACCTTTTTTACCTCTCGTCCTCCTCCTGCGGTGTGAGACAAAGCTTCGAAACGACATATGTGCACATCGGACCCATGTCTCTCCCGGTTTCCTCTTTTAATTCTGTTATTAATGGACAGTGGTTTGTTGTGTTGTAAACAATCTCAGGGGAGCGAGACTATCATTTTTACATTTCCCAGACTAACATACTGGCTGCTAAATTCTGGAAAGCTTTCAAGAGTCAGAAAACGCTTCCAGATAGCTGTGAAACATTCTGTCAAGTCGTCCAGGGGGTCTACAGAAATACTATAGACCTTTCTCGGCACCAATCACATCCATAATCCATTAAATGCACATTTTGTCAGGATTTTTACATTTGTAGTGGATTTGAATAATAAAATAGTTGCATTTAATTTATATAGAGTATCTGTTTTTATTTTCTACTTCAATAATAAAAAAAAAAAAAAAAAGTAATACTAAATGGTTTCGATGATAGTCCCAGAGGATCTAGGAACAAGAGCTTATTATTTCTAGAGTCACAATATTGCACCGATGTTTCACAACCAAACAAGGACAAATCCACTGTAGAGGAGGCAGAAAGATTTCTACACCCTTAGTAGCAGAAATGGAACCAGAATCTAATGCAGTCACATGATCAGAAGAGATTGTGGAAAAGTTGGTACTACAAAAGAAAATTACAACATCCTGCCAATATCATTTGTGGAATAAGTTGAACACAACAGACTGATGGCACAGCAGAAGAAGTGAATCCCTTGACGTGAGTGTTGGATTTTCTCTTTATATGTTCAGTCAGAAGGAGTCGGTCAGCAACTGTTGTCTGTTTGTCACTTTGACACAATGGGCAGCAGTTCGCCTTTTGCCTTCATTGTTTTGATCTTGGCCTTAATGCTGTCATCCATCGCCTGTCGGCAGCGATGGGCGTAACGTGCCAGCGTCTCCTCTTTCTCATCCCACGGTGGCAGTGCGTGAAACACCTCTGGAGCGGCCAGACTGAGCTCAGCTATGGCAGCTGTACGGGAGATGGTGTTGCGGTCCACGCCCACCCGGTCGAAGGCCACCTTCATGGAGACGCTGTGGCGAAACTCTTTGAGGGCTGCCATGTAGCGCGCTATCACACCCACCACGTTTTTCACTGGAGAGGAGACATACAGGGACATGTGACAGAGATAAATCAACACATACAAAAAACTGATAACTGCAGTATTTACTAATAACCATACATTCTGCTCTATGGGCACTTATAATCAAAGTTGTTATCGTTAATCTTCCTTATTGTGTCATGTCCTTACTCCTGACTCGAGTGTTTTCCCCGTCCCGGCTCCTCTTCGTCTTCAGGGTCCGGTGGCGCTCCACAGGGTGAAGCTCCATTTCCTCAAATGAGTCAAACAGCGGCGGTGAATCAAATTCTTCCACATCATCAGGAGAGGTCATTTGTGAACTTCCCGGTTCTGTCTGATTAGAGCAGCGAGACCACCGCTTCTCTAGGATTAGAAATAGAACAATGGCAACTTTGAAATTTGGTTTATGTTATAAGATGCCAATAAAAGTAAAACAGTGCAGCAAGAGAAACACAATGGGCAGCAGTTTTGCCTTCATCGTTTTGATGACTTTATTAATCCCACAAGGGGAAAGTCAATGTTAGTATTTTACACAGGTCTGAAATACACACACATGCACAAACAGGACCTATAGCAAGAACACGTGGAGAGATGTCAGAGCGACACTTGGTACGACGTAGCGAGCGGTTGGGGGTTCAGAGGCTTGTTCAAGGCCACCTTTGGCAGTGTCCAGTAGGTGAAATACCACCTCTCCAGTCCACATTCCGTATCTGTGGTCCGAGTCCAGTTCCAGCCAAGGCCTTACGGACTGAGCTACTGCCGCCCCTTAGGTAAATATATTAGCTAAGTATAGTTCAGAGTATTTTTCAATGGCATTTTTATTTTATTTTTCATTTTGACACTCCGGGACCTCCATACTTTCATGTAGACAGTTCAAAGTACTAAACTGCTGATTAGTATAGTTTTTTTCTTAATGTTTGCATCTCTTTTGTTAATATGTGTATAATTGTTACGTGAGGAACTTTGATAAATGGTACAGTGTAGTCACTTCATTCACCAACAGGTGGGTTTTCCAAGCAAACTCTTACCTGGCCGCAGTTTGTCCTGCAGGAAGTCGCAGATGAGTTCGGCTTTTTTAGTGAGTTCATGCTGCAGCAGCTCTTTGTCCTGCTTCAGGCTGGTGATGATCTCTGTCATCTGCTGGTTGTGGCTGCGTTCGGCACAAAGTAACGCTCGCAACTTTTCCAGCTCATTCTGCCTCCCTGCAGAAACGAACAGGAAGCCAGACAGTTGGGTACAAAGACACACATACATATACTGGGTAAGAAACTGTTTTCTGTATTGTTTTGAATCATAAAATAATCTTGTGTTTTATTAATAATAATGTATTCTTGTGTTTTAACTTTTGGGGAAAACCGCCTTTATTTACCACTCAGATGAAAAAAATATCCAATCAAAGCGTGCAGTCTCTATCTCTACATGTTTGTCCATGCTGTACCTGCAGTCTGTTCTGTAGTCTCTGTGGCGGATCTGCATCTCTCGGCCTGCTCTGTGGTCCCTGCCATGCAGCTGCCTCCTCCTAGCAGCTCCATCTCTGGGTCCACTAACCCCAGATGCTGCCCATGCTGGGGCTGGGGGAAGCGTGGGAGGGGCTTGTTGGGCAACAGTGTGAGAGTGATTTGAGAGTGTGTGCTTTGTGCCTGACAAGCCTGCGAAATATCGACAGCGCCTGTTAATGCTAGCCCCGTGCTTGCTATGTTTGCAGTAGTTCAGTATTCTCTGCTGAGGTTGCTTCCTGCTTGACCTTCTTCCCGTCAACTGCTCCTCCCGGTGCCCTGCATCTTTTCCTGTATAGGCGGGGCTCGTAGTCGCCATCTTCGTCTGTGGCCGATGAATCACATCCAGCCATGTCAAACAGCCGGCTGCTGAACTCCTCCCCCTCTGATGCTGCTTCGCTGCAGGAGAGGTCACATGACGCCTTCACTCTCACCTGAAAGGTAATAATGAGAGAAAGGAAGTGCAGTTACACACCGAATCTCCATCTGGCTTCTGCTTGAGTTTCTGATAGACAGAAAACCTGCATGTACCGTGCAGGGGAAGTCTTACAAAAGATGCAACTGATTTGCAATATGGGAATTGTAGGATCCAGTGTTTTTGGAGCGTCACCTGTACTCTACCAGAATAAGTCACAATAAGTCGGGATCTGGCCTTGCCTCTGCTGCATCAATTTTGACCATTCTTTTTAAATGTGTGTCTCTTGCAAGCCCCCCAACTATGTGGAAGTGTGACTGTAAATCACTAGGGCCCCCGTTAAAGGCTGTATGTGTAGAATCTGTGACTCCTACAGGTGGTACCAAAAAAACAGACTTTGGTAGACAGCGAACAGATTACTGCCTCCTTCCAAATCTGCATTTGAACACTAAAAACACCATAACAGGTTTGTAAGACTATCACATTCCAAGGGCTCCTTAAAAATGCAGCCATGAAAGGTGGCACTTTATCTTTCTTTTGGTGATACAACTGGGGTTTCTTTTAGTTTTCAAAACTATTTCATTTGTATAAATTTGACATTTGTGACTGCATCTTAAATCCTCTGTAAACCATCCTATCTGGGTAACCTAGAAGTCAGAAGGCCGCAGCTTTGTAGGCTTCTTCCCTCGAGGACTCTTGCCTACAAAGGTGTTGGATGAAGCTTATCACAGTTTACGATAAGCGATGCATTCATCAAATTAGGTGTAGCAAATTTGTCAGGAACACAAACCCTGATGTTTTATGGTAAGTAGTATGGTTGTGCTGAACATATCAAAGCCACTGGTAAATAACAATAAAAAGACAAAATACCTCAAATCTCTGTTTTACCTTATTGGACGGACGTCCTCCGACAATCCTCTCCAGGCCCTGGCTGGTATTCGCTGAGCCTCCGCAGCCGTTGCTACGGTCACTGAGGGGCCAATGGTAGGCGTGTCCAGCACCACAACCCCAAACGGCGACAGGGACACTGCTGGCATGGGGTATGGCCTCCAGTGTAAGTACGTTACCATAGGTACCACAAGTGAGGTGCTGCAGGCTGGGGATGAGGTTGCAGATGGTGCCGTGGCTGTGAGCCCAGCGGACGAGTTTACACAGACTGTCAGAGGTGGTCTGAACTGGGTCGGTCATGATAGAAACCTACAGAAGAAAGAGAGAGGGCAAGGTGTCTACAGCCTGCAGTCATTTGTGGTTTAGTGTATACATGATGATCTGTTATGGCTGCCAAAATGTAAATAACTTCATGAAAGTTTACTGTGTGATGCCCACAAATGTTTATTTACATCTATAGAACACCAGAAACATTTTCAAAGATTTGTTTTCTCCAGTTGGTTCACCATCTTTTCTTTCCAGCACTACTGAAATTTTTACCCATTTAGCGTATGGCCTATAACGATCCTTCTTCTGAATCTTAAGAAAACTTCCATAAATATCTAAGGGAATATATTGTGTGTATTGTGCTGCTTGTCAGTCTTGGTTTGCTCAGGCGTTTTAATTTACTCTCAACTACCCTTGACCTAAACTCAAATGGACCTACCCTTTCGAGTAAAGTTTTGCGTAAAACACTGGTTACTTTTTCTGTCATGCCCCCCTGCAAAAGCCCAACAAAGCACGATAGCATCAGCAAACCCTTTTTTATTTTTTATTTCCCTTTATTAAATTATTAATGTAAGGGTTTGCTTAAATGAATATAGAATTTCTTTAACATTAAAACATGCAATAACTGCCTTAATAAATTTGGGCTGCAACTAGCGATTATTTTCATTAACGATTAATCTGCAGATTATTGTCTCCTTAATTCAATTAATCATTTTCAATTAATAGCCAGTTAACCACTTCATCAATTAACAGCCCAAGATGACAACTTAAAATGTCTTGTTTTGTAAGAATAACAGTCCAAAACCCAAAAGGATTCACTTTACCTTTATTATGTGTGACAGAGAAAAAGCATCAAATTCTTACATCTGAGAGGGTGGAACCAGCAAATGTTTAATTAATGATTAAACCAATTATCAAAAGAGTTTATTTTGGTCTGTTCATTTAGTGTGGATTAATCCCTTTCTTCCATCAGCCACATACAGGATCTCAGTGGTCTGTAGCTTGAACCTACAGGTTCTTAGAGGGGGACTTGTTACTCTTGATTTATTATAGACGTCTGCACAAGTTTCCTTTGTGTTATTCCCATCCTAAAATATTATTAAATATTAGACTAACACTACTTGCATACTATCAATATTGAAACCTTTAATATGATTTAGAATATCTAGTGTAGGTGAAAGTTAATGTGATTAAAGAAGGCAAAATGATCACATTTATAAAAACTATAAAAACAGTGATTAACATCACAATGTTACAAGCCATTATGAGATAGGTTTATACTAATAGCCCAATGTGTAGGCTAGGTTACATCTTCATGTTTACAGTTTAAATGTGCAGTCCACACGCACGCATACGCACTCGCACAATAACACACAGCTGGATGAGTGAGTCGATCATGCACTCTCACTTGAAACTAAACTCAAACCACCATCGGGAACAAAAAGACAGTGTTGTCCATCAATCAGACGGTCTACGTGTCTATCACATCAGTCGTCAGAGCAGGCAAACCATAATCCACAAGGCACAAGACCAAAGCTCCTACAGCCCAACATGTCTCATATTTAACGTTACCTCTTTTATTAGTAATTAAAACATTCCAGCTGTGAGTCCAGGTAGGGTTCACGCAAGCAGTAACCTCGGTGACTGGAAAAGCCAACGCGGAAAAGCCAAAACGGCCACTCGAGCCTGGCTCCAAATGCGACTCAATGGTTAATTACCATAAATCCTAACGTTAAAACAAACAGATTTACAGCAGAAATAAACAATGTTTACAGCCGGGTACAAAAACGGTTTTGGTCTCTATAATAATTTCCCCGTTCCATCTTGTTATGACGCAAATAATGTATCATGAATATCGTGAATATATATGTACAGCATTTGCTTAATTATCACATTCTTTGTCTGGAAGGTTTAACATCGACAGAACCCAACGTCAAAGTCGCTTTACTGCCAGGACCTGGACAGGAGGAGGAACTGCTGTCTCCCATCACTATGTGATGATGAACACTGACCTCTAGTGGCCGGGGTGGATCAACGCACCCAGCCACATACAAATGATCTTATCTTGTCTTATCCATCTTATATTATATAATATCTTCCCCCAATAATCAATGAAACAAGGGAATGCTGTGACAACAATTCTATTAAAATGACAATTTTTCATACAGTTTTAAGGGGTTTTGCAGGTTCTAGGGGGAAATTTATTTTCAAATTAGTACCATATGCCTAAAAAGAATTGAAATTGAAAATATATGGAATGTTTGTAATTCGTAGCTGCAAAAACTTGCCCAAAAGTAGCTTTTCTGGCAGTTTTTTTGGGCAAGTTTTGAGCTAATTTAAATTTGGGCAAATTACTTCCCCTGAATGTTTAATCTTCTGTGCAAGATGATGTAGGCCTATGTGCAGTGTTTGACACCTGAAGGCTGTTTTCCAAAAGTCCCACATTTCTATATTGAAATGACTACCGATTGATACTTCTGGTGTTGCATATTGTACTATATTACTCTCATTTCTAAATATTGAGGTTTTATAAAAGCACATTGCTCCATAATTTCTGCAACTGCGACCGATAGGTCATTTGGTTCAGGACAAGTATGACTACGCCTACATACAAACACGACGATACATTTATACGATGCCCTTAAGATGGAGCTTTCAAAAAGGGAGGGTTTCCATGTATGAATTCGGTGATTTAACTGAACCTGCCCCTGGCTCCACCCTCCGCTAGTCAGCCAGTCTACTACGTGTTAGACTGTAGCCTTTAACTTACATGGAGAGAGAAGAGGAGAAAAAAATAGCCTACTTTAACAGGCTGTGTCTGGAGGAATAGCCTACTTCAGCTACACAGTCGCAAATTCATCAAACTCTAACCGGCAGTTTCCTCTGCGTTTTCCGACTTTGATGAAGTTCTGCATGGAAACAAATGATATTTGAACCCGCGGACCGGAGCGGACAGTGGAGGTGAGTGTCGGATACAAGCCTGCCTGTTTGTGTTCTTGTTCTTATATGCACGAATCTCGGATACAAGACTGTTTGATTGTGACACAAGTGGAAAAAATAGACCAGTTGTTGCTGCTGCTTGATCTAAATCTGACCCAAGTTTCAGAGAGCTCTTAAAGGCTTAATCCGGGAGCAGAGGGAAGTTCTTGGGCAACAAAGACCTGGACACAGAAACAAAAAAGACACAAGCATTATTAGTTAAAGTATGGCATTAAAGGCCAGAGTCTTGTATGACTTCCACTCTGAAAACCCAGGGGAGATCTCCATAACAGAGAATGAACTGGTGACTCTGTTCAATGAGGAGGAGCTGGAGGGCTGGCTTGAGGGGGAGAACAGCAGGGGGGAGGCTGGCCTCTTCCCTGCATCTTATGTGGAGATCATCAGGGAGCACATCACCTCCAACACCAACAACAACGGCTTGTCCTCGCCCAAAATCAAAGTCCAGACACCCACCCACACTTCCTACACTTCCCCAGACTCCCAGTCTCAGAGAGGACTCGGGGCCGGTAGTGGTGGCAGTGGCGGGGGCAGCTTCCGCACCAGCCAGGGCAGTGATGACGACTGGGACGACGACTGGGACGACAGCTCTACTGCTACCGATGCGCCTCATGGTTTCGGCAGCACGCCGCCCTTGTACCCGGTGACGTCCTCCTTGCCCGGGCGACGTTCCAGCACCCAGCAGCATCAGCAGCAGGCCAAGAGCTCAGCAACAGTGGGGAGGAACCTCAACAGGTTCTCCACCTTCGTCAAGTCCGGAGGGGAGGCCTTCCTGCTTGGGGAGGCCTCTGCTTTTGTGAAGGACGGGGATAGGATCTTCGTGGTGATGGGGAAGCATGGGCCGGAGTGGCAGGAGGACCCCTATCCTTTCACATGCACCATTGACGACCCCACCAAGCAGACCAAGTTCAAAGGCATGAAGAGCTACATGTCCTACGGCCTGACTCCAACGCACACTAATGTACAAGTCAACCGCAGGTACAGGCCGTCTTCTTCCTTCTCCTCCTCATCCTCTCCCCTCTCTGGGGCTTGTTTCTTCACCGGATCCCCCCCACACACACACTTAAAATAAATGTTCCTGTGGCTTTTCCTGTGTCCACAATTGTTCCCACAAAAACAGAGCTGACTGTGGCCTTTCTGCCCTCTGGAGTCCTCAGGAATCTCCCCTTCCTTTTCTGAGATTCCCCCTCCACCTTTCACATTGTTTGCCTTGTTACACTTACTCCCTAACATTTCAGTTTACACTTCATCCTGCGGAGGAAAAGTTTTTCTTCCCCTTTGTTTTCCACTCCTTCTCACTACTTTTTCACTTACTTTTTTTCACCAAACCTTCTCCCTCCCTTCTCATCCACTCAAAAATGTCCACATAATTCCTCCCACGTGTCTCCCCTTTAATCATCCCTGCAGGTATAAACACTTCGACTGGCTGTACGCTCGGCTCGTGGAGCGTTTCCCCGTCATCTCGGTGCCCCACCTGCCGGAGAAGCAGGCCACCGGCCGCTTCGAAGAGGACTTCATCTCCAAGCGGAGGAAGGGACTGATCTGGTGGATGAACCACATGACCAGCCACCCAGTGCTGGCACGCTGTGATGTTTTCCAACATTTCTTGACATGCGGGGCAGATGAGAAGGCCTGGAAACAGGGCAAGAGGAAGGCAGAGAGGGACGATCTGGTCGGGGCCAATTTCTTCCTCACAATCAGGTAGGAGGCTGTACTGCAGAAGTTGTGGGTTTGAATCCCGGATCAGAATGTGATGGTTGAATCCAGCTGGTTTTTTTGTACATGCCTATTGCAGCCTATAATGAAAGTGAGATGGCTGTGGGTTGCTGTGTAATAAAGATAAATGATATTTCCATCAGCTCCAGTGGAGATGCACAAGCCTTTCATTAATCTAAAGCACCATGTTTGATGTTAGGCACTTGCAATTCAAGAACAAGGGCTTCTTTCTGGAGCCACCATTTTCCAAGAGCCTTCAACAGTTATACAATAAGGCAAAGAAGAGGTATAGAGACCAACATCTACACTAATAAGAGCAGGACATAGACCAAAATGCAATCCTGCTACAACACCTATCGGGTTTTCAATAAGGGCCATGGTCCTCACCTTCTTAACTTGAAAAACTATTATTCTCGTTGCTCTATTGTCATCACTATAACATGCACACTCCACGTCTATAAGCCACTGAACATATCAGGTTGCAGCACATTCTCTGGAGATTGTAAAAGGCATCCTGGGAAATGTAAGCAATCATTACCTGAAGTAAAAGTATGTGGCAAGTTGAGGGAAAGAAGGTACACCAAAAAACCATAAATAACAGCACTTTTGCTCTCACATGTTTGTATTATTAAGATGATGTAATGCTTGAATTAAAGGATTTTCAAAATAAAGCCATAAGGTCATAAAATTATCTCCTCTTTAGCACGCCTGCTGTCCCTCTGGACCTCCAGGAAGTGGAGAGCAAGATCGAAGGCTTCAAGACCTTCACCAAGAGGATGGACGAGAACAGTGTGGTCGTGAATACCACCATCAACGAGTTTGCTCGCAAACAGATGGCGGGGTTTAAGAAGGAGTACCAGAAAGTCGGACAATCCTTCAAGCTCCTGGCACAGGCGTTCGAGCTGGACCAGCAGGCCTACTCTGCCGGCCTGAACAAAGCCATTGCGGACACTGGCGAAGCGTACGAGGCGATAGGAGAGTATTTTGCCGAGCAGCCGCGCCACGACCTGGATCCCATCTCTGACCTGCTGGACCTCTACAGAGGACACCTGGCCAACTTTCCTGATATCATCCATGTGCAGAAAGGTGGGAAAGTGTGTGTGTGTGTGTGTGTGTGTGCACTCTGTAACTAGAACCACATTTTGCCAGATACTATAAATGTAAGCACAGGGAGAAATTGTGCAGTGCTGTGGCAAGCAATGACAGATGTGAAAGGAGGTACTGATTTTAAAAAATGCATTAAACCTCCAACATGCTTGCAAGAAGTGAAACAGATGCAGGACCTTGCATACTTCTCTTCACAGAGAGGTCAGAGGCCAAGGGTTAGCTTCTATGGTGGGGAGTGAGTGGTCAGGACTCTTACTCATGGATGCCTCTGCAGGGTGGAGGGTTTGAATCTAGGGAGGAGTCAGAACAAAACCAGGCCTCACGCTCTCGAGTTTCCATCCTGCAGGCTGTATAATCTCCTCTGGAACAAAAGACACACATTTATTTATTCTTACTTGCATTAAAAAATAATTAATGACGTTTCCAAAGCTGTCCAGACTGCAGCCTCCCTTTCTGACAGAGAGCCAGATACTGTTTCAGCATCTGTTTTCATTTTACCGGATCGCAGTCCAGTCCATTGTAACACTGGGTACTGAGAGAGCCTGTCCTCGCTCATGAGGAAAACACAAACGCAGAAAAACATAGACTCACATGGGCATGTACAAAAGACTTGCAGAGGAGTTAGCTTGTTAGTTTGCCGCAGGTTGGGAGGAGGGAGTTGCTCCTGGCACGCAAAGTCCTGATTTTTGCCAAACCTAGAGGCACTGTTTCTATAGTCCTCAAAGCTCTGTTCTCTAGATACAATCACAGCTTCGAACTATGGAAACACAGTCTGAATCCCAATAGTCCCTGAGACTGACGGGACTTCACCTACTTTCTGACTTTGTTTTCTGTCCCTGAAAGAGAAGAACATTTCCTTCACTTCTGCTGCACTGGAAGATACTCATACTATTTAAGTTTTGACTAATAAGTTTAAATCTATTACTTAATTTATGTTATATTTAAAAATAATACATTTCTCTGTGGCGCATGATCTTGAAATGTGTAATTATTTGTATGAAACGAGTCAAAGAGCATTGGAGCTGAATGATTTAAACCAGGCAAAGAACACTTTCTTGTACTTAGTGAAACTTGGAAACTTTACCTAAATCTTTACTAAGCTAATTTAACTAAAACTGATCTTTACTCTCAAAACTGACCCAAACTTAAACCTAAATTGATATCAAGGGAATCCCTTTCTGCTTTCATAGGATCTCACGCAAAGTACTGTCATCCTTTTTGGGTACCAGCATGGCTTTTCACTTCCAGAAACCATAGCTAGCGAAGCTTTATGAGAAAACTAATGAGATTTGTGGAAGAAAGGGAAACGGCAGTCTTTCTTCTTTCAGTTTTTTATTTCTAAAATACAAACCGTATCCCATTTGAATAAAATGTAAACATTCTTGGATCTACACCAATTTTTTATTATTTTGGCCATGGGAAATTTTGCATGAGTGTTGCAAACTGATTGAGAAATAAGTTTATTCAGCAAAGCGAGTCAGTGACTCAGAATTCCCTAAAAGTACCCATCATGTGGTAGATCA